AACAACAGATATATAAAAAATACATGCTTAAAATACTGAATTAAGGCGGATGGAATAGTGTAGTAGACAGACCCGAATGCCTTGTAAATCAAAGTGAAATTCGGGCAAGTATATGACTGTTGCTTATGATCGAATGTTCAAGATTCCGAGCCTTTATCGAGATTTTTTGAGGGAATCAAGAAAGTCTTCATTGAAATTTCATTTTAAAACTCTAAAAATGCAAAGTTGTGGTGTCTGCCCTCAGGACAGATCGTGAACTATCCAGTGTTTACATTGCTCCAGTATATGAAATCTGCATATAAGGTGGTGCAAGAAACCACATTGTACAATTATCAGTGATGTTTTTCATAGAATTAATCTTGAAAAATTGCAGTATTCGAATAACATTTTTACTAAATTCGGGCATTATTTGTTATTTCGTATTAGTATACAGAGGGAGATGGGTGGGGTACTCTCTCGTATCAAGGGTGGTGCTGATCCTCGGAAATTCAAAACTAAAAAAGAAAACTAAAACATACCAGTCTATTATTCAAAAATTATACCACATCATCCGGTGGTGACCCGAAAACCTTTGATACAACCAAAAAGATACCAGATTCCTGCGTTTTACCCCTAAAAGATACGATGATCATCACCACCCTCTCATATATGTAAGTACCAAAGACTCGGGTTAGTATATAGCATTACACTCTGAATTTCCATGTCGATGTTGAGGCTATATCAGATTTGTTACCTTATATTTTCATTCAGTTTTCAAGATGCAACAGCTCGATTATATTAATAGGACATATCAAATATGTTGGCTTTTTATCATATTTTATTTCCAAGATGCAGCAGTTCGATTCACCAGAGTTCCTGCTGACAAACTGTATGTAGTGAAAGGTCAAACTGCTAGATTTACATGGGACTACCATGTTGATAATATCAACACAGAGTTTGATTCTCGATCACCAAGATGGTACTTCCATAACAACAGTTCGTTACTGATTGGATATGGTGACTTGTTTGATGGACGTAAGTTCAAGATTTATCCAAACACTTGTCCACCTCGATTACTAACACCTACAGTACGAGTGAGTGTGGAGGTTAAAGCTACTTTGGTCATCACTGATGTTACTATGGCTGATTCTGGTACATACGGATGCAGACTGGTTTTATCCAGTGGTTCTCTCAGTTCGATGCCAACAAACGAAGCTAAACTGATTGTTACAGGTAAGTGATGCAAACAATTTTCTTGAAATAGAAAAAATTTGATAAAATTTGTACGGTGCTTTTTATTCGTTTTGTTTTGATTTGCCTACCTGTTCAATTGTTTTTAAAGAGTGATATCAATTATGATAGGCAATAACCGTAACCATAGCAATATAGATGATTGATAACGCAAAGTATATAGTAAAGATAATATCAGTATCATTATGACACATACGAAACTAATATAAAATTTCTTTAATAAATTGTTAAAATCTTCATCAAATGATTTTGTGTGTAGACTGGAAGTGAATTCAAGGGGATAAAAAAAATTCTTAAATTCTTAATTTTGATTTGTTCCTAGAAACACCTTCGTTTACAAAAAAGCCAAATGCAACAACATCAACCATTGAGCACTCTGACTTGAATATCAGTTGTACAGCGGTTGGCCTCCCAACACCAGTTGTCACTTGGGTGCAAATAAAACAATCTTCTACCTTATTTATCATCAAAGGTATAGGAGGTGCAGTTTTACACTTTGCAGACATTAAAAGAAATCAGAGTGGGACGTACGAGTGCCATGCATCCAATAACCCAAATGAGAGTCTGGTCAGAGCTAGAACTATGGTTATCGTTAGTTGTAAGTAAAAAACGAGTCAACATCTGACAAAATGCAGAAATTATGATCCTTTTCGACAATATATATTCAATATTAATGTGGCACAACTTTGTAGGTACTTTTTTAAAGAAAATAATAAAATAAAAATATATGCAGTACAGGTGCAATCCATAGATTACAATAGAGAATACAAGACCATAAGACCATTCATTGGCTATAAACCGGTATATTGTCATTAAAGATACAAACAAAGGTATTTTTGCTTTTTAAAGTTCCACCAGGTTCCCCAAGCTTTAATGTTACAGATATCGAGGCATCTTCTGCTGTTGTACGGTGGGCAGAACCAGTTGACAATGGTGGTAGTAAAGTTACTGGATATAAAGTGGAAATTGACTCTAAGACCTATAACTTCTCTTCCTGGAAACCTAACCATTTCGTCATTCCTGGTCTCACCAAAAACAAGGTGTATGTTGTCAAATTGTTCGCCAGAAATGTTGCAGGTTATGGGAATGCCTCGAGTAAGACTTTTACCACTAAAAAGGAAGGTACTTAAAATAGATATCAGAATCAAAAATAATTATTTTATAAACAGTTGGCATAGCAGTTAGAAATTCCAATGCAATATTAAGTTGTCTTCACAAAATATCTCCACATTATAATAACACGTTATTTTTCGTGAATTAAAAATTACGTGACACTTTTCGGGACTCGGGGAAATCTTGATTATGTGAAATATATCGTTTGATCTAATTAATCTGATATATGATACATATGCAGAAGCTAGTGCATTTCTTAAAAATGTTGTTGTTGTTGCATTTTTTTTTCTTTTTTTCATTTATATTTGTTTATTGTTGTTCGTCTTAATTTAGGACCACCAGGTTCACCAGTTTTAAAAATAGTTAAATTCAGTAATACAACAGTGACATTGATGTGGTCAAAACCAGAAGAGAATGGAGGTGAAATAGAATACTACACAATCTACAAGAAACTTTCTGGAGCCGAATGGTCGCAGATTGGCACACTTTCAGGTGAACCACTCACATACACTGTTAAAGACCTTCTTCCAGGCAAGACTTACAGTTTTCATGTCACTGCGAAAAATAAAGATGGAAGCAGCTTGATGGGTGTTAATGTGATAACCGTGACATTGCCAGTTGAAACCACTACTCCTAACCCCGCAACAAGTGCTATTAGTAAGTATAATGCCATGATCACCTACGATTCTTTTGTCTTTTCAGAGATGCTAGCAACCGAACACCTCTTCCTCATGAATAGTAGTAGGAACGATTACTAGTAATCGTCCCTCATGCATAATAACATGAGGGAAGATTAGATTAATCGTCTCTCATGTTATTCATGTGGAACGCAAGGCAAAGAAACTCTTGCTTCCTAGTAGGGAGAACTGAATGTCCCTACAGCTGTTTTTTTTTAACTCTACATTCCCACCCTTATAATCGTCACAGTCACACTGAAATGTGGAATAATTTTGAGGGCAAATTGACCGATTAGCTCTGGTTCCGAGTCACCACTTTGCACTTTGCACTGCTGATAATTCATAATTATCTGCCCTCTGCTTCGGGGATATTTAATCCTAATATCCCTCAGAGCTATGCTATTACTTATAAGTAGAAATTTCTTTTCCTGCTCATCAAATGTGTCGATTGTCACCTAAATCTTGACGTATCTAAACTTCACTACTCTATTCTTATTTTTTTTCAGTCATGTTTTGCAAAGTTTGATAAACTTATTCGTGTRTTATTAAAAACTGAGATCGATGACCACGTTTTATTTTACATATAAGTAACTTTACTCACAATCTTTTGTTTTGGCTATTTTTTTGCAGCATCAAGTAGAGGTTCAAGGATTGGCCCATTCAACGACTTCGACTGTAAGATTTATATTGATACATATATGTATTGTCAAGAACTATTCGCACGATRAACATGTTACCATAGACTTTTTCCCCTTTTTATATCAGATGACTTGCTTTTTCTCCATTTAACCTKGKTAGCGACACTWAATAMTCGTCCAYAGGGATCCCAAGAGAAAGACTACGCAGTCTGCTCACCGTTAAAATGAATGCAGCGTTGTTTCCTTTGGATTTATTCATTTCGTTCAGCATTGCCATTGCGTTATTTTTCATGGTATTTCACAGCTTTCAATACTTAGTTAACAAATGTGAAATGCATTGCTGACTTATGGATTTGGAATTGTTTTCTTTGATTTTTCTTGGACTTCAATTTAACAAGTCATCCATTCATGTTTTGCCCGTCTTGATTTCTCTCTGGTTTGGTTTGGCTTGATTTGGTTGCAAGTGTTTGTTTCTAATGAGAAAGTGAACTATGTGTATTATGTATAGTTTAAAACACGAGAGAGAGAGTGTTTTAAACGGCTTAAGAAACTCAAATCAGTTAAAATTCTTTGAGAAATTGCCGTACAAATATGTTCAGAGATAAATGGGGCAAACTGATCATGCGCGAATCACTTTACAAAGCACTCTTGTCATCCCACATTGAATACGCATAATGTAAAATAGAAGCGCTCTTGGCTGTTCACTGAAAACGGTTGACATCCTGCATTGGTCAATGATCAGGTTTCAAACCTGAGACCTTTGCTAGGGTCATGGACCTTTATATCTGATAAAGGTCACCCTTATTAGTATTCTTTATATAAAGAACACTAATAAAGAGTGTTTTATCAGATGGTCATGCATGTGACCAAATAGGCTCATTCTATTGGCCTAGTAGCTCATTAATTATGTATGAGYTTTTTAATACTTTTTTATGAACCATAGACTCTACTAAAGTTGGTGTACTSGCAGCATTCTTAGCACTTTCAGTACAGCTCATGGAAAATCGCATGGAAATATAGGACCWATAACCAAAATAATAATAAAAAAGTAAGTTCCAAAAATAGACATTTCAAAAGTGACCTCAATTCAATCTAAATATGGRAAGCCCAGAGATTTTAGAGCAATCCACAGAGAATTAAATCAAGGTACAGGAATATGTAATTCACACTATATRGTATTTTTTAGGGATGGGTTTCTGTACGCCTCTTTAACTAACCTCGCAGATCATCCACAGTTGACTCAAGTTAACCAGTTTATAGCTGAATATTACCCTTCTGGTCAGGTTTACCGTCCCTTAATTCAAATCAATTCAATTCAATTCAATTCTTATTTACCACTATTCGTAATTACAACGATGATAATGATATATAGTGATAATTTAGCCTCCTCCGCAGGCATYACTAAGAATCACGGGCTTYCTGTCTTTTTGAGGAGTCAAAAGAGGGAGAATGKGGGCGAGAAAAGGGGAGCTTYTTTTTATTTTTGCTATCTCGTCACTGGTCCCTAACGGCCAAAATGACCGTTACAAAGGAAGCCCAAAGGAGGAAAAAAGAGTTGCCTGTGGAGGAGGCTAGTGATAATTATAGAAATAATAATATTGGTATAGTATGGTGTTAGGCATAATATTGTGCGTAGTGGCCAAAGTAGCAGGAGTTGGCCAGGTTGGCCACTTCCACAGTTGATAATCCGTGAGTCTACAGCTGATTTTTCTTCATCTTTCTTTAAGCTTGACAGTCATAACTGAACCTAACCTATCTAACCTTAAATAACTGTTCAATATGTTTTATTTTAATTACAGGGTAGAATCATTGATAAGAAAGCATCAAGGAAGAGGCCAACAAACTAACTTGATCTGGAAATCAGGGGATACAATGGGTCTCAGGGCCTCGATAGATAGATTATGAGTGTTGTATAAGTAGTATTAATGAGCTTTGCAAAACAAATATTATGCAACAATCGAGCAATACATGTTGCTCGTTATATTGAGTACATTTGTCTCCATCTTTAGCGTAATGTGGTGTGATTGGCTCCAGCAAAGAGAGCAGATAAAAATGCTTTGTGAATTCTAATAAGCTTTAGCAGAAACTTTAAGCAAAAAATCTTTATTGTAATTTATCGACATTTTGTTTATTTTAGCGAAGTAGGGAAATGGCCGCTTTAACAATACTATAATTAAAGTTGCACCATTATATACACTRCTCGTTGTTGTTGTTGTTGTTTGTTGTTGTTTTCGATGTTGTTGCTTGTATTGTTGTTCAGGGATGAATCCACCAGAAATTTTGAAAGATGGAGTGCAAAGGATTGGATCCATGCAGAAATTTTATATATTGATTCTGCGTCATTTAGAGATGAAGCACTTCCATTTGAGTGCTTTAATGCTTACATTATCAATTATTTTCATATTTTATTTATTATTTTTTTGGATAAATATAAAATATATTAAAGTTATAGTCTTTCATCATTAAATTTTCTGGGTTTACATTTCTTTAAACCATCCATATCCACCCAAAAATAAATTGATMTTTCAAAAATAACACACCAAATATAGAAAGCGTGACATTACAGACATGCATGGTTTAGTTAATTAGTCAATAACAAAATGAGAGGCTGACAGGGTCAAACTCACCAGCGCAGAAAAACAAAAACAGTAGGAGACATCAGCTTCAATGCTGCTGATACAACTCGCCTCGCTATCCGAATTACGCAGTAAAGTTATTTAATTTAAGATTTGCTTGTTGCCCAATGACAAGTGTGAAGATTCATGGCTTSTGTGCTGCTCTRTACAGTTGYATTGTTTCATTCATGTTGCTTCAATCTTCAGGTACGTTATATCACCAATATTGTATGGTGGTGAAGCACTTCGTTCATTTAGAAGAAACTCTAAACGCTAAATTTACACGTTAATCAGTTMATTTCATAGCCAGGGCAAGCAGTGATAAGATTGTCAAAGGCACTTTGCAAAGAAAGTTTTGACAGATCGATCACATTCATACTGTATGATTGTATGTTTATTTCCTGGTTTTCAATGTCTCAGTAGCATGTCGGGATTTTTTTTATTTTAAACCAGATCGATTTTTCTATTCACTTYTGTTTTAAAATCACAAGATCAGGGACTAAAAACAACTTATTCCGACTGAATAAATATATAATATATGATTTGTATATATGATATCAAAGAGGCAAGATTTTGCTGTAACTCCGAGTTTCGTGCTACGCACTGATCAGACAGTATTAATATTATACTGTCTGATGAGTGCGTAGCACGAAACTCGGAGTTACAGCAAAATCTTGCCTCTTTGATATCATATGTATAACTAGCTCTACACTTTATGTGTATTGAGTACTCTTTAATGGGATCAGCCACTTCCTCATACGATAATATATGATTTGTATTGTATATTGTRATTATGAGACTTAATTTCCGGGTCAACCAAACAGAAGCTATGCAAATGAAGCATCCGTTTTAGATCGTAATATCGTATTGGTACATCCTCTGGCTATGGTATTAATTTACGTTCTTCAACTGCAGATGCTGCAGTCCGATTTACTAACATCCCTGATGACAATGTGTACGTAGTGAAAGGTCAAACTGCTAGATTTACGTGGGACTACCATGTTGATAATATCAACACAGAGTTTGATTCTATGTCACCAAGATGGTATTTCTATAACTACAGTTCTATGATTGGATATGCCGACAGATATGATGGACGTAAATTTAGAATTTATGAAAGAACTTGTCCAGCTCGATTACGAACACCTACAGTACGAGTGAGTATGGAGGGTAAAGCTACTTTGGTCATCACAAATGTAACCCTGGCTGATTCTGGTACATATGTCTGCACACTGTTTTTACTCAGTGGTTCTCTCAGCTCGATGCCAACAAGCAAAGCTCTACTGATTGTTACAGGTACATGTTGTTATACTCAGTTATGTTAGAATTGTTTGTTTGTGCATGTGCTTGTTTGTTTGGGTTTAGGTTTGGGTGTTGTTTCTGCTTTTGGTTCTGGTGTAATTATTTTAGCATTATATTTTTGTCTTTATGTATTTATTTTATCAAATAATGGAGGGACGAGAGTCTAGTACGAGACTTCTCCATTTACTGTCAGATTCAAAATCTAGCGAAGGTCTATGATAAGATAGTGTTTTAAAGCAGTTCTAAAACTCATGAATTATTCATTAGACTTTCTTCAAGCACTGATTTATTAAACATCAGTTTTATAACTAATCAGCTCAGATAGTTATAATACTCATGCATAAAACATCAGTGTTGTAACCGAGTTACAGACACTCGATGTGTGCCCAACACTAGAAAAAGTTCTCAGTTTTAGACTTTCATCATAGAACTTCACTAGGTTTCGAGTTGAAATATACCTATTGCAGAGTCATAGTAGACTAAAATATAGTGGCACTTCAATGTGGGAAACCAATTAAGTTGATAACTGCTCATGCTCAGGTGGAGATATCTTCGTCAATTATTCATTTTTGATATTGTTTTATTTATTTAATGTTAAACAAAAATATTGTAGTTTCTTAGAGTTTGGGTTTTAGAAGTCTCCTCGTGTTTATATCTCACGATAAAACACTCCTACTCTCGTTTTTGAAATATCACATAAAATATTGATGAATAAACCCTTTTAGTATAAACATACTAATGGTCTATCACTCATACTGCGCTGTGATTGGCTATTCTACTAATGGTCTAATTTGTGATAGACCACTCGAGGGAAAATCAAAATAAATAAATTATAAATTATTTTAAGGATATTTCAATTTGGTTTCATTATTTGACCGATTAGTATGTTTATACTAAAACAATTAGACCTCGAGGTCGAGTGGACTACGAGCTAATAGCCCATTCGGCCTCGCGGACTCGGCCTCATGGGCTATTAGCTCGTAGTCCACTMGACCTCGAGGTCTAATTGTTAATTAGCGATCTCTTTTACGCTGTGTTAGCCGTCAAAACCATTTAATAAAATCTTTTATTCACAACAGCCCGTGCAAATGTAAGAGATTCGTGAGTATAGGAGACAATGGAAATAGTTTAAAATCTCACGAGTTTTATCTACATTTCTGAATATCGTAGCACACAATCGAGGAGGCTAACACAGCGTAAAAGAGATCGCGAAACTCGACTATTAAACATTGATGTTTTAAATTTGATGTAAACCTTAATAATGTTTTATCGGGAGTTTTGAAAAGAATCAATCATGTACCCTAATGATTGATCCTCAGTGAATTATTCAAGAATTTGCTGATACTATATAATTTTGCATTCGTATCTTTTTTGCATGGCGTATAATACCTATTGTTTCGTGGACATATTTAAATGAGCCGCCCCGAAACAAAGCCTCTTAAATAAATTGCTTTATTGGCTAAACTTATCACGTGAATGGTTAGGCTTCTTGTCAATCATATGATAATTTGTACATATCGTGTGCAATTGCTTATGTGTTGCCAAGTAACTAGTAAATATTTGGTTAATTTCTGTGGGGACGCCATCTTAGATGACAACTTTTTTTAAGATATAAAAGAACGCTTTCGCAGAAAGCGAAACACGATGTTTGACATAAACAGTTCGAGCTGTAGTTCGTGATTGACCGAAGTAATAAAAGAACGCTTTCGTGTTTGACTTAAACAGTTCGAGCTGTAGGTCGTGTTTGAGTGAAAGTTATAAAAGATCTTTCATGTGTAACCTTTACTTTTATCTATATTTCTAGATACTCCAAAATTTACTTCAAAACCCAAACCAAACGCAATTGTCATTGAAAACTCAGACTTGGACTCCACTTGCACAGCAGTTGGGACTCCAACACCAAATGTTACTTGGGTACACGTTATAAGAGGGGTTACTCTTAGTAAAGGTCTAGGGACTGCAAAACTAAGGTTACAAAATATTAACAGGACGCAGAGTGGGCCGTACGAGTGTCATGCAATCAACAACCCCAATGAGAGACCTGTTGTTGCTAAAACTATGGTTACAGTCTATTGTGAGTAGAAAGCTAAAGTCTGAGATCCTGTGTTTGAAGAAAAGCTTCTTTTAATTGCTCAAACAATCTTAAGTGTTTAAAATATTCAAACATTAACAAAATATTTTCCTTGTTGACAGTTTCTTCGTTTTCTTCCTTGTCATAACTTTTGAAATATAGATATTCATCTTGCCTAGACAAACCGACGGTTGAAAAGGCATCTTCTACGGTTAACATCAGCTCATGGGCTGGCAACACAATACGCCTGAGGTGTAAATGGTCTAGTTCACTTCCAAGTCCAAGCTGGACATGGTATAAACCAAATGGTGACCGCATCACCAATATCAGTAGTATTGGAAGGGGTAGTGAGGTCACTGTGGTGACTGGACATGACAACGATGATTACGGAACGTACACTTGTAAAGCAACAAATATTGCTGGTAGTGATCAGCATAACATATCAGTCACTCGTCTCTGTAAGTTGAATCCAGGACTGTTAATGTGTATATATTTAAAATAACTCACATGACCTTTACTATATACTGTATTGATAAATACAGTAGTTTTTATCATAAAAAAATGTGATTGACATTTGCGACTGATTGGCATTTACCAAGGCTTCCATAAGCTTATTAACATTTTAGCTGATAAATATAACTTCCTTTATTTGTCCACCAGTTCATTTCCATCTGGTATGAGCAGTATTCAACTCCCTTATTTCACTTATATACTCCATATATATATATACACTCCAATGCTTTTTTAGGTGTAGATAATCTTTTAATCTAGTAAAAGAACTATATATTAAAGATTTAAGTGTTAAATAAAGTGATTTCATATTGTTTTATTTATTTATTTTTTTATTGGATTGTAGTTCCACCTAGTCCGCCACAAGTCATTGAAGTTGTAGGTATTCAATCATCATCAGTCATGATTATCTGGACAAGACCAGTGGACAATGGAGGAAGTCCTGTCGCTAATTACAAACTCCTCATTGATTCTAAGATTCTATACGTCAATTCATCAAGCGCTCTGGCCTATAAAGAGATTTCTGGTTTAAAAGACGGCAAGACATATAATGTCACCGTTTTGTCCGGGAATATTGCAGGATATGGTCTCGGTTCTAGCAAAGTATTCAAGACTACTAAACATGGTACATTGATTTCCCTTAAAACATCTAGGAATTGTGAAAGTACCAAACTAGTTGTAAAATACACAAA